ATGCGACTATAATCAGCTGTTCTAAACTTCCTCATTGGAAGTCAAGAAAAAGCGGTGGGTTTCTCGAGAAGCTGTTGATCGTGTAATTACCAAAGAGTTTTTCGCCTTTTTGTAAGTGTTACTGAAGCGTTTGGCCTAGTAGATTGTATATCAGCATGCCCTTCCAGGCTCTGAAGAAGGCGATACTGCCGAAACGTCAGCTAGCGTTGTATTGTATTGTGTTTTTTATGGAAGTAAGTGTATGCTGTTTAAGAACCTCGCGATTGCTGAACAAGAAAACGACACATTCATAACAGCACTTTTTTCAAAATTATTCACAGACGCCCAAGGAGAATGTATGTGAAAATTAGAAAGGAATGACATGAAAGGTGAAGTCGATGGCCATCAACTACATCGTCTTACTCTTGTACTCTTAGCTAGGCTTCATGATGGAAACGCCACACTCCTCAGCTTGGGAGACACCGCTTGGGGGATGAATCTCCTGCTGTGCATCGCAGCCCGACATCAAGCAACAACACACAACCACGATGAGGTTGTAAACTTTTGAAAGGATGAAAATTATTCTATAAATCAGAAATCATGGTTTATTCTGTCTTAGCAAAGTGACACTTTACAATGTTCACCTCAAATGACACCAACTTACAACAAAAAGCGCAAATCTAAATAAGAATTACTTTGTCGTTTTCTTAAGAAGAAAATATTGGCACCGATTTGGGTGATAGGTACGGTAGATATTTTTTAAAAATAATGCGAAAAAATCAAACATTCTCAATGTTAATGTTGTACACTTGAAAAAAATGAGGTAATCACAGCATTGCTAGGAAATTTTGACATCTGTTGCATTTGTTATGAAATGTAGACGTTCTCGTTTTATATACTACTCATTTGTGAATAGCTCGTATACAATATTTTTTAATAAGAGCACAGTCCAATATCTGGGTTGCAATTATTGGGACCAGTTGGACAGGTACTGCAAACAGCACCGATTGTGTAGATGCTCTGTCCGACTACGTTCACTCTGAAGCAGAAGGAATAACTTCTGTAACTTCATAGGATCGCTGAGATTCTATGGACTCACGGATTTCGATACATGCAAGAGCTGAAGTAAAATCCTCGGCAAAGCACAGTTGCACAGCCGACAAATCTGTTGCTTCCCCAGAGAACCTGAAGAAGTTCAGTGGTACAGTGAAGACTTAACGGCATCTACGGAGTCTTTCTAATGAGTACACAAACCTTGGTAACCCTGGTCACCGTTCTTTGTGTACGTTGGACGACTTGAGGCGTTAGAATCATATTCGAAGGAATTCCATTGGCCGCGAGTTCATTAGTGAACATCACGATTGCCTGCATTAGTAGGAATGAAAGGAAGAAAATGAATTTATGTGCGATTAAGATATTGTAACTTTTGGAACCACAACTATACACATTACTACTTAAACATCTGCATCTACGGTTGAAGCGCATACTAATAACTTCAAGATCTGATTAGGAACAGGTTCTTGTGGCTCACATTCTGAATGGCTCCTAGTACGTCAGTGGCAGCTGTTGCGAGGACATGAATATTTTCACTGTAACCGGGTCGAGCAATCGGAGGTGCAGGTATTCTATCGCATGATCTCACATGATTAAGTGCCACTTGCTCCGCTTGGCAATCATATTCCTGAACTACTGTGCTCACATAACAGGCAATGAAAACAAAAAAGCATGAACAAGTGAAGCCTAGCGTCCTACCATCAAGTCCATTCGTGAAGCAGGAGGTGCATTCTCGCTCACATATTCGCCGTTTCTAGCAAGACCTCTTGAAACTAGAGATCTAAATAGAGCGCCTTTTTCGATTAAAATGTGTTATTTAACTAAACACAGTCTGGTAGTTTGCTAATTTTATCATAGTAATCGGATGTTAAAGGTCTCCTATAGAAACGAAGACTACAACAGTTCTAGCAACATCTGAAACACATGGATCGGATACATTTTTGCTATGCGAAAGAATACCTGAAATTATTATGCATTCCCAGGGCGACTTCTCTAAAGTTGGAACCGAAGGCTCTGCTTGTGCACTCAGTGCTTCTTTTTCTGGTTGTGGTTGTGGTGGTGGCTGTGGTTGTTGATGTCGATGTTGTTGTTGGGCCTGATGTGGTAGTTGGTCTCACATCGTTAACACATAATCCATTTTCACAGAAAGCTGGACTGAATCGGATGCAATCTGCGTCGATTTGACACGGCGTGCCAGACATATAGACTTGGTCTCCAACTTGCACGTTGCTGAATGATTATTATAAGGCAAACACTTTTGCAGTTGTGATTAATTCGCTTTGTGTCACCCACGGTGCTGAAAAAACACACGCAGCGGCTGCAGTATCGAGGCACATGGCGCCGGAGCATCCGACAGAAACAGTATTCGCCAGAATCATCTAAGAAAACAATCTGGTGTTGTTTCCCTCAGAATAATACTAGTCAGACCTACGTTAACAAAATCGCGTAATGCTGGATTGCCATCGAAGGTATTGCTAGCTGGCCACATCACGCTTGAAATTTCGGACCACAGCAATATTGCGCTTTGAATTGGGAATCTTCGATCGAAAACTGATGAGCCTTGTCCAAAGCTTAATCCGCAAAAATTTTAAGCCATCAAAAAGCAACCGTTCGATTTCTGCAGTAATTTTAACAAGGATATTCATCTGCCGCACATACAAGTGATAATTGCTCCCGAATTGCTGCGGAACGGGCCCTTCGACGGGAGGGCAGTTCTGCACAAGATTCTCAGCTATCATCTCCAGACTGCAATTCCACGCCTATAATGTCCAACATTATGATCTGTGCATACACTCAGATGCGTTGATCTCGTGCATATGAGTGAGAAAATCACTTGTCAACGTATTACAGAGTTGTTCGATGTTTTTCTTCAATAAGCAGACACGGGTTGTTAGTATAGAATTTATTAGAATACAATAGCTGACGTTTCGGCGGTTTCGTCTTCTTCAGAGCCTGGAAAGGTCAAATTGAGATGTGATCTACCCAGCCAAGCACTTTCATAACCCCAGCAGATAAAACCTAACAAATAAATTTGCATTCGCATAAAAAACAGCTTCATTTAAACAACTACAGTTTATTTGTTGTAAGTATTTAAGTTAGTTGATGGATAGCAGCCCCACAGAGTAATACGTGGGCAATAACTGTGCCTGTCTCAGGTCATTGGATTAGTCTGAGGTATGGCGCCAAGTCACGTGCGATGACAAGGCACTCCTTCTTGCGGTCCGTTATTTGGATTTTTGGAATTGGTCCAAAACGCTTCAAGAGTTTTACGCGCTGATGTTTTCGATTCCTGCGTAAGGATACTGACTCCTACTTGAAAATCTTCTCCGTTGTGTTCCTGCATCCTATGCGCGCTTAGTGGAGTGTTTTGTTTTAACTTAGATTTACCGACTAAGTGTTTTTTTTGCGGACGCAGAGCGATCTACCCATTTCGCCAACGTATTCGTCCCAGCACGCTTCACAAGAGATCAGGTAGACTGTACCCGAACTCATGCAATCACCGTCTCTACAATTGGGGCAAATTATGCAATTTTGCGTTGCACATAGACAGTCATATAGGCGGTTACGAACTAGCTGGCGTCTTAGAGCGTGCGATGGTATTTCTATCACTTTTACGGAATTCTCTAGACCGGCCCTTATTAAGCAACGTTTTATGGCTGCACTTATGTCGTTTAAAAGAAAGGGCAAGAGGAGCGTGATCTCGTTTTCGCTAGAATTACCGCTCTGGGCGTGGTTTTTCGCTATGCCTATGCAGCGAATCTACAGTTTTGTAACCGTTTTAAATGGCTATTTGGCGGGCTGGTTTCGAGGATTCTTCCCTCTGCTCTCTACATGTGCACACGCTGACGGTGGTTCGAAACATATTTCTTATAAGCGCCCTTTTAGTGTGTGAGGAGTGAGAGGAGCGGTAATGAACCACTATATTCTTACTGTTTGGCTTTCGATACCATTTTGTAATGTATCCGCTCTCGCATAGGTTAATTTGAACGTTTGGAAATGGAAGCCAGTTTTCTTTCGGTTTCTCACGGGTGAATTTTATGTACTCTGACTGTTCGTTCAATAACTTAAAGCATTTGTCCATCTCCTCTTGTGTGGAGCAGATGACAAAACAATCATCTATATACCTACAGTAGAGTAACGGCCTGAGATCGATTACCGGGCTTCCACTTTAGACATAAAGGCAACGGCAAGGGTTGGTGCCAGTCGCCGTCCCATTGCCAACCCTCTAATTTGCACGTAATATTTCCCGGACCATCTGAAGATCGAGCAGTTTAAACAGACCTTCAAGAGGACCATAAGCTGCTGAATCGAAAAGCCATACATGGTAATTGCTCCTTCGTGTTGCTCAAGAAGCTCGCAGTTGGCTTGTTGCATTGCGGCGTCGTTCGATACGTTAGTCCGAAGCATTGGTATAGGTGCAAGGGTACTTCACACGTGGTTAGTACTATAGTGTCTGTATAGTGAAGAAAAACATCGAATTATCCATCAATGCCGAAGTCAACAAAAAGTCGGTCTTGGGAATTATTATAGAGTTGGATAACTCGAAAGACCGACTTTCTATAAACCTCGGCATATATAGTTGATATATTTATTTGTATGATTTTAAAAACTGATCTTCTTAAGCTGACGCGAGGTTGGTACAGATCTTCGTTGTCGTTGTTGTTGTTTTTGATGTTATTGATCGATGGCTGACGTTTCGGCGACTTCGCCTTCCTCAGAGCCTGGACATACTTTATGTTAGAATACTTTTTATTATTCGGTGGAAAAGAAAGTTAAAGTATTTATGAAGATCAAACTTTCAAATAGACGCCATATTGAACAGAAAGTCCACTCACCGTGATGTTACGTGCGGGACTGGCCCACGCATAGTTCGCGTGGAGTCGCGAGCAAGGCACACCCCGAGGTCAAAATATCATTTTGAAATAGGGCGCCAGGTCACGCGTGATAGTGAGGCATTCGTCCTTCCGGTTCCTCTTTGGATTTTTGAAATTTATCCAAAACGCCTCAAGAGTTTTGCGCGTGGATGTTTTTATTCCTGCGCTCGGATCCACGCAGGCACTTCAAAATCATCGCCGTTGTGCTTTTGTGCCCTATGCATACCTAGAGGGGTGTTTAAACGGATTTTAGCTTTTCTATTTAGACGTTCTTTTATGCGGACACAAAGTGGTCTACCCGTTTCCCCGATATATTCCTTGCCGCATGCATTATATGAGATCAAGTATGTTATACCTAAACTCATGCAATCCCCGTCTCTCCCGTTAGGACAGATCATACGTCTATTTGAAAAATCGATCTTCATTAACACTTTAACCTTTCTTTTCCACCGGATAATAAAAATATTTTAATATTAAATACGTCCAGGCTCTGAGGAAGGCGAAGTAGCTGAAACGTCAGCCATCGATCAATAATATCAAAAGCAACGACAACGACAACGAAGACCTGTACCAACCTCGCGTCAGCTTAAGAAGATCAGTTTATAAGATCACATAAATAAATATAGAGTTGGATAGTCTGACTATGTGGATATAAAAGTGCGCCATAGAAAGAATGGAAGATACAAACAAAGGATGTTACCAGCTTGTCCATATTACTTGCAGACGGCAAGAAACTCTGCGCCTGAAATTGTCCTAGCGCAACACTTGAGCGTATCCGGTTGAGCAGATCGAGAGCTCCTGTTCTATTCTGATCGCTTAACGTTAGGCTTTGTGGGCATCCAAATGCTTAACACAGATCGATTAATTCAAATTATTTTGCTGAAGTATCCCATTCAATACTGACCCTCATTCAAATAGACCGAGAGAAGAATACCAAAGTCTAGTGAATTACGTATGTTTTACTAAAATGCCCTGTTCGGCTGTTATTTTGAAAGCTATAAGAAATGAAGGGAAGAAAACGTTGGAAACGCTTACGTGTTTCAAATGGACCACCCGATAACGCAGGACGCAAAACCTAAAAGCTCCATTTACTGTGTTTTAAAGTGCTGGAGAAACAAAATTGTCCACCAACCGCACAACACAGAACCAGAAGTATTGCTTGGAACATAGTAGAGGCACGCAATGCCCAACTACAGATTCCCCCCTTATAAATGTTATTGATTCTGCGCTATCCTCTGTTAAACCAATCAAGGCCTATTACATAATTGTTGGGCTAAAATTAGAGTGAAATGTTCCTGTTGTATTTCAAATGTATTTGAGGTGTTTGATGCACTACAACAACCGCACAACACCCTCAAACGTTGTTTGATTCACTACAATCCGGAATATTGAGGCAAATTTCCATAAGTGCTTAGCTTGTCCTACAAATAAAATATATTAGTTCAAAGTAACATATTTCCATCTACCAGGAAGTATCAGTGCCGTCGAACGAAAACAAATCGGATTTGGAATTGTCGAAAATATGGTGCGGTTGCAGAAACACATTGTTATTTCAACGTCAGTATTACTAGCAACTATGCTCAAAAATTCAGCAGTTGCTTCAAGAAAGAGCTAAATTTAATGTGTTCATTCACATGAAACTATAAAATTATGCTGGAATTGCAAGCCTCCGATGAACAAACATAATTGTAGGATCGCGTGTAGCGCAGTGGTTAGAGGTGCCCTGAAATATTAGCGCGGTGGCTGGCTAGGGATCTGAATTCGCAAGGCCTTTTCTCGTCCTTTTGCCGGCAAGTTGCTAGTACAATTGTGCGGGGAAATAGCAGCACTGAATTATAGGCTGATACATCGGTAGGCAACCGCATATTACTGCATAGGCCAGAAATGCACTCAATCATTTCAGACGATGCCAACGGAGTCGAATACTATCCGAATCCGTAAAGGGTAAAGGATAAAAAAAGATGAAGCTCTCGGCGTTTATCAATCCCTGAGGGATGCGCCATGCATTTGACATGATTAAACATAGTTGGGTGTGATTGCACATCTGGCCTTTACAATGACTTGCGGTGTCTACCGATGTATCGGACCAGTGCTGCTACCCTCCCAGACAAGTCTGGTACCAATTTTCTGAGCCCGAAGGGATGGAAGGCTTGGTGGGCCATGGGCGCGGGGATCGATTCCACGCGTGTGTTGCAGGGCACCTGCGCTACCACTGCACCACACGCGCCATGAATCCCTAAAGAATTGAACAATATGAAATTAACGCTTTATTCTTTATCACTTAGTAAATTAATCAACTCCAAACTTCTTGTAATTTCTTTATTCTAGGTTAACTTTTCTTCGAATCTGTGAGTAGCCGATTTACGGAAGTTTGTGCGATTGCTTCGATGACGAATATATCGGATATGATACTAATAACTGCAAGTCCTAAAAGATCTGCAAATATCACCTTTTGGAAGATTTCTTTTAGGCATAGAATGTGAGAATAAGCCTTTGGCTACAGCAGAGCTTGAAAAACTACCGATGCCTATTTCGTTGTGGGAAAGAAAGTAAAAATTAAGGACTTCATGTACTAACACACTGTAAAGCATTTTTCTTCTATCTTAAATCAACCGAGACCACTGGAGCGCCGGAGAACGATGGAGGCAAATGAAGACGATGCTAGAGTGTGCTTGACTTAAGTGATTATTAACAGTATTATAAGATGTATGTTATCGATTTTTGCTGCATTTTAAGTATAAAACTTCTCTGGAAATGAGAAGAAGAAGCTGGGAAAGGTCTTGACCAAAACTTTCCAAAATTGCTTGTTTGCGCCAAGAGAGTAATGAGATGTCTACAAAATTCATAATCTTATTACCTTACGA